CATAGCAACGAATGTAGCGAGCGGCTACAGCTCATTAATCGACAGATAACCCGACATAATCACATAAACAAATAAATCTAGGTTATGGGTACATGAGCACAGAGCACCATCGGTCAATAGGTAATCACTTGGCGGTCTCTCTTGCTCACTGTCAATGAAAAGGGGGTAATTCATGTCATGCTTATAGAATATCACAGCCATATGTTGGGAAATAATTCTCGAATATCGACAGCATTAGGGACCACTGCACCACACCGTTAAATCGTTGACAGAACGTGCACACGATGTTTTTGACAACTAGACGACATGTAGCAGCCGCACAAGGGTTTGGTTCTCATCTTCACAAGATTCTGTCACGTTAAGAGAAAGAACTTTTTTTATACAAACTGCCGGGGAAAATTAAAGGTAAAGTTGGTAGAAAAATACCTGAGAACGATGCTGTCAAAGCCAGGAAAAGGAAGGAGATTCGTAGAGGCCGCGTCTCTGTCGCCATCCCTGTGCCGTAAACGTGAACGTCAGAGTGCCAGGTGCCGGGAGGCAGCGCGGGAGACGGCCTGTCTGCGCGTCGTGTTTCCAGGCATCTGCCAATAGTATCTCTTCCGGGCGATTCGTACACACATCACGACTCTTATGTTTGGGTCGATAGCACATCTAAAGTTCATATGTGTGATTCTCGTGTCTATAGAAAACGTAGAATGCAAATTGGGTGTTACACGAATGAGTGCTGTCTTTTGGATGAAAGTCCACGTCAGCCACAAAGTCATCCCCATTAGCTCTGCGTCAATTCACAATGAAAGATGCAGGCAAATATGCAGTTGATATTCAATTATATGCTAGGAGCTGTGGAACATGATTGATGGGGGTCAGACGTGTTCACTCGAGTTGATAAATCCATGTCGGAGGTCGAACTACAAATTTGGGGGAATGATGAATGATGGATTGCGCTACATGTCATGTTTCCCCAGGGCAAAGCATCGTCATCCACCTTTATAACCCCTCAGTCAGTGTAGGGGTTGATAAGCTATGTATCCTAGAGCCAACAGGGACATCTACGTTGACAAAAGCCTCTTACAGTAGATGTCACGACTCTATCTCTTTGCCAGACCCCGTTGATACCAAACTGCTAACAGCAAGCCAGCCCACAGCGAACCAGCATACAGATGCCTTGCCTATGGTTCTATTTTGCATTCCGTCAGTACAGGTAGTTTTTCAACGGCGTAAATGTGTAATATGATCCCTCGAGCTTTCGTCGATCTGTTTTCCCTGACGAGCGATCACCTAATGGTGGAGAGAGTGTTGGATTCAAATGGTTTGGTCATAATCTAAAGCAGCAACGTGTAATGGTATG